AATCCTTTGTTGGTTTTTGGTAATACAAAAATTTTTTAATAAAGTGTGGCCTGACTGCTGAATTTAAAAAAAAAAATAAATAAAAATTAAAATTAAAAAATTAAAAATAGACAAATAATTAATTTAAAAAAAAAAAAAAAAAAAAAATGAATAAATAAATAAAATTAGAAACTAAAAAGTGTGAATTTTATATTAGATATAAGAGGCATTGTAAGCTATAAGAAAAGCAATATATAATAAACTTTTTTCTTGAACTATTACTAGTACTAGTAGATCAAACTTATTGCATAATTAAAGGTTATGAACAAGTACTTGCAAACTTGAATAATTCATTGAAATTGAATTTCAGGTTTAAGATTATCTAATAAGTATGATGAAATGTTTCAGAAAGTAATATTTATAAAATTAAGTGTTATTTGAAAATTTTATTAGGTTAGAATTTTAATACTTATTACTTTAAAGTTATTGTTTTAGAGTGAAGACTTTTTTTTTATAGTAAATTAAAAAAGAATTGTGGCCAGAATTGCTTATAGGATTCCTGGTTACTTCTATATTGAACAATAAGGATCCAAATCCACTAAAATAGTATACTATCCTAAATGTTTAGCCTAAATTAAAATAAATAGAGGCATAGAAAGTGAAAACCTAGATGTTCCTTTGAATAATTTGTGTGACCTTGAAGCAGATTTTGTACCTCTAGATCTGTTTCATGAACATTTTTTTTTTAAAAAAAAAAACCATGAAAATTTTTAAATAAGACAATTCAAATGCCAAAAGAAAATTTTAGCACAAAACGAGCAACTCATATACAAAAAAAACATTAATAATGGAATGTTCGTAAAAAGTTGATAGTCATATTTTATCAAGAAAGTGGGCATAGTATTCAGGCAAAAGCAGATAAATTTGAAATTGAGCCTAAACAAGTTCAGGAGTAGAAAAAAAAAATAATTTAATGAGAGCATCACCGTATGTTCGATGACTTAATACTGGTGCAAGGCCTAAATATCCACAATTGAAAGAGGAACTTTTTGAGTGGTTTTGTGAGTTATGAGGACAACTTAAAACTGTAATCAGATTTATGATTAGTGCAAAAGCTCGTAATTTGGCTGAAAGACAAGAATATCGTACTTTGTATCCTGATATTCTTGAATGTCGATTTACACAGAAGTGGATGAATAGATTTATGTCACATTATAGATTAGTAAATCATCAACGTACTACAACTGCTCAAAAGTTATCAGAAGAATATAATGAACTACAACAAAATTTTTTAGCTTATATTCTTTATCGTCGAACTTAACATAACTACTCTTTAAATTTAATTGGCAATATGGATAAAACTCTAATGTCATTTAGTCTACCAAGTCAAACAACTATTGAAGAATATGGAAAATGAACTATCTCTGTTCATATTACAGGTCATGAACGTACTAGTTTTACTATAACCCTTGTCTGCCTTGCAGATAGTACCAAACTTCCTCCACTTATTATTTTTAAGTTAGTTAATGTACCATGAGAGCAGTTTCCTGATAGTGTATATGTTTGTGCAAATCTAAGTGGCTGGATGGATGAAAAAGAAATGATTTGGTGAGTGAAAAATATATGGCGTTAATGAGCTAATTTAGGGTCAAATCTATATTCGCTTCTTGTTCTTGATACATTTACTGCTCATAGAACAGATCCTGTAAAATGTCACTTTTGTGAAAGGAATACAGATATAGCTGTGATTCCGAGTGTGTTAACCTCACGCTTGCAACCATTAGATGTATCTTTGAACAAAGCATTTAAAGCAAGGGTTAGTTTAGTGTCCTCTATAAAAAAAATTTAAAAACATACTCAGACTTTCTCAGATTAGTTTTTTGAGAGATGAGTATTTTTCATAACAAATATCTATACAGAACCTTTGGAATTTTTTCAAATTTTTCGAATATTTCTGAAACTTGTTAATTTTCTGTTTATAACTTTTTGCTAGGAAAAAGTTACAAACAGAAAATTAACAAA